GCAAGTCGTCGTTGGGCGGGCTGGATCTAGACAACTTACCAACGCTAGACGATGCTATGCCATATGCCGATTGGTCGCTCACGGATTATTTCAACGGAGTCTCACAGGAGTCGGATTGTTTCCGCGAAGACTGTCTGACCCTTCTCACTATGGACCAAGTGCGCATTTCCGAACCTCATGGACTTCTTTGCCTGACTGTTGTAACCTCAGAAACCTCTGTGTCCCATATACGATGCCTATCCATTCGATCTGTCGGACCCTGTCTCATCGTTCACTCCAGAGTCTTCTCGTACAACGATTAGCCTTTCGGAGATCTCGCCGCCGCCGCCGCCGCCGGAGACCATCTTACGAGAAGATATCATGGCTACGTCTGACTCTGACACCCCCTACGTCTTCGTGCAGTCCTGCTGTGGTGATGCTCCCGCATCGCCTACAGCTGTATTGTCAAGCGACACCCCGCTCATCATCCTCGACCCTGAGCCAGCGTTCGAGACGTCACCTCTCGGGCCGTATGCCACCGTATCGAGTTCCCCGGCGATGAAGACAACACATCTTCTTAGTGCCGCTCCTGCTGCTCGTAGGAAGGTTGTTTCGCTTCCTCGGAGCCGTGTGTGCTCTCCCTCTATCAGCAAACTCAGCCGATCGTCGCCTCGGAAGAATTGCTCTCCTGGTCTCTCGCACTCGCTGTCCTCGTTACGCCTTGGCGATACTCCTGCTCAGAGTCCTTGCTCCCATTCCTCGACACCTCTCTCGAGTTCCGATTCTATGCTCATATGCTGCTCTGACGAGGCTGCTTCAGACTCGGAACGCGTTCTTGAGGCGGCTCATTCCGTTGACGAGTACTGCTCTGATGGCTCTGTCGATGAACACCAAGGCTCGGGCGTGTTGTCGCAAACCAGCCCGACAAGCAAGAAGCGCAAGAGGGCTCGTGGCTCGTATAATCTCACCAACAAGAAGAAGAAAAAGAAGGATGATCGCGCACAGTGCCAGTATTGTCCTGAACCAAGAAGATGGTTCACTCGCAGCGCTGATCGAGACCGACATACGGATTGGTCTTGTACCTATGTGCCCGTCCATTTACAGAAGAGACTCAAGTGCCCTTATTGCCCACCAAGTGCAGAGCCACTTGTTAGGAAGGACGGGCTGTATCGACATACAGATGCTCTGCACGGCAAACCTACCACCGAAAAACTTAAAGACAAAATTCAGAACGCTAAAGGTTATTTGGAGTCACGTATGTATGGCGTTGCTACCGTCTTTTCCTGTTGCTGACTATTCAATCATACAATTGCAGTCATCGTAATTGGATCTGCGCCCAAGTTATCTGATAAACGAACCAAGGATTCGTGAAGCCCTGAAGCCGTTTGCGTCCTCAACGCTGTATCCTTATTGATTTACCCTTTTGCATATCCGGACATCATCCACTTTATTTCCGCATAGCATGGACTCTGCGTTCACTTGATTCTCCCTTCAAGCAATTCTCACCCTTCATCTTCGCATGTCTGCAACTGTTCAATATCTCAATGTTTTGCGCCCCAGTTGATACCCTGTATTTTTGTACACACAACTACCCCATCTCAGTCGATCATCTGTTTGCTCCATAAAGTCTACGAATGCGACAATCCCCTACATTGCGTCCGCCAACTTTTCGTCGTGCGCCTGATAGTCACTATCGTCTTGGTCTCTGTGTGCAGTTACTGGCAGCGTTCTATTTTCTGATAGGTCGTATACGGTTTGCGTCAATCGAACAAACTCCAAGGAACATAGTACAAGAAGCGTACAATTGGCCATAAATACACCGTTACCCTCGATGCCCGATGGGTTCTCTCAGGGTTCCCTCGGTCATCATGAATGAACAGCAAACCTGGGTTCGGTGATATACATAGCTGACCGCCGGAGGATTTCTGTCAGAGACCGCAGATATATTGCACATCATAGCTCACGACCGCCTTGTGGCAGTGCATGAGGACCAGATGATTAATGCGCGAATTCAAATCCGAGTTCTCCATGGTGTTCCACACATAGGACCAATGTAACCCCACTACAATCTCACCAATCCACCACCGCTCATATCCCGCGAATTAAACCTTCCATCCGCCGGCCAGATCCATCACCCGCTGCGGATCGTAGTTATCCTTGATACGCCTCATTCTCGCAAGGTTTTGTCCAAATATTTCGTCTACTGGAGTCACAAAAATCGCGTAGTTTCCGTAGGGCGACGCGTTTGTGAGATCTTGACCTTCGTCCATCGCCACTTGAGTCAAGTGGGCAGCACTGGCTCGAATCGCATTAGCCATGATATCGTCGTACCTTGGATTGGTCCATGTGAGGTATATGCTGGTCGGTACGTAGACTTGCGACCGTGTGGGGGGCCAAGCAGTCTCCTTCCCATGAGAGAGTATGCTGGGCAGGAACGGTTCTATGGCGTAGGAGAGGGTAAGTTCTGACTTGTGCGATAGGTGTGGTCCCCAGTACTGCAGGCTAAATTAGCAAGGTAGACTCAGACAGGCGACATTCACCGACACTTGTCTCGTTCACTATTGCGTCGAGGATCCTCTTGGTATAGTTCAAAAACGTGGGCGTGGTATTGATGCCACTAGACTTGTTTCAGTGAATGAAGAGATCCTTCATTACAGTGGAATTACCGGAACTCCTTCAAGGCATCATGTCCGATAGACTGTTTGAGTGATAAATATGACCGTGTGGAGATGTTCCGTGAGATACTGGGTAGGGACAGGAAATCGTTGAATATCCCGGGTGGTTGTCTCGACCCCGCGTAGAACATCATCACAGAACAAAGTACCTGAGGAAGTATCGCAGCGAAGTCTGTGCTGTTGAACATGGTCGAGATATAACGTCACACACCTGGCCTTCTCGATAGCCGTACGTAGGAAGGAGGGCTGCCTTTGGATCGTCGACTTGTGAAACGAAGCGCATTATTGCACTATTGATCTGCGCAGCGTATCGTCCGGAGATGAATATATTCCCGCCCTACGTTTGAGGTCACACAGTGTCATGTATGTGGAATTAAAAAAGCACTACGCACCCAAACCTTGCCTAGAGGATGAGCTCTCATAGTGAACTTTGTGACGACCCCCTAGTGAAATATTCTGCATGATTAGCCCCAGAGATTGGATATAATACAGCTAGAGACGCACGAAATTGTTACAGCCACCCTGTCAGAGTGTCATCAGCTGAATACGGTGCCCAAGGTATTAATAGAGGTCTTGCCTTTAAGCCGAAAAACAGATCAGGATGAGACGAGGCTGTCGCGTGAACAACTGTTCCGTTGGAAAGCACCACCTCGTATCCCACGATGTTGTCGACTACCAAGCCGTATTGGTTAGTTAACCATGAGTAGCCTACGAAGACGCAAGTAATGCTTGGGTCAGTGACGAGTGTATAGTAGGAACAGACAAGGCCTACATACCTCCACCTAGGCTGAGGCCGCCAACGCCAACGCCACTGGCTCGTGCTCCCGCAACAGCAACGCCGTAATGTTCGAGTGCGGCGTAAACATGGTCCCAACGTAATCCAGAACCAACGTCAACAACTTTATGTTCAGGGTTGTAGGCTACCTTGGAGAAACGCGTCATTGAAATATGCACACCCAAAGTGGACGAGAATTCCGGGTTGTATGCGTGTCCGCCACCCTTGATCAAGAATCCAGACCGTTGGGTAGATGCTTATAATGACTTGTAAGCGAGAAGCGTACGGCAAAGGGAGTCCTAGTCCTCGCAACCGCTTTCATCTGTAAGTTGCAGGCCTTGCTGCTAAATACAAGGCCGAATAAGAGGATCAAAAACGCGTACGATGAGCCCGACATCGTGCACAGTGCCCGGTTCGACCGAGCAGGCAGATCGGCGAGTGCTGGACAAAAAGTTATGCGAAATGTCATCTTCATATCGGGCCGAGCCTGTATAAGGAGCCTAAGCATTAGAACAGGGAGAACGGTGAGTCAGAGCATGATCGAGAATAAGCACCTGGAAAATATACGGACGAAGCGGAAGACAACTGTGAAGCAATTTCATGGCATACTGCCATGTGATGTGCAGCGGGAACACGGTCAGCAGTGCCATGGGTATTCTCGGATAGAACAGAGCTTGGGATCATGAGCAGGAGCAGCGCTGTAATTTGAAGGCCGAGCATGACTAGTCCACGAACACTGTGATGCGGGATGGTACACGGTACTGCGGCTATATATAAGGTAAACAATACGAATAGGATCATGAGGCGATACTTACCGTACTCGCTTTGAACTAGTGTTGATAATCGCGACGGCGTCCGAACAAAGGACACGTCCCCACGTTGCGACAGACGCAGACGTAGCATCGATTTTCTTGGAGGTTCTTTGTCCAGTTTCCTGACCTTTGTTCGACAAAGCTAGACATGCAAAGGCTAAATGTGCAGAGAGACATGGATTGTCTATGACCATTGTTGACCTGAAGATGTAGTTAGTGCTTGTCAAGTGATAGGATGAATTACATACCAAAGGACATTGCAAGGCAGAATCCGGAAGCCTTACAACGCTCTTCGTTGACAGAGCCACGATGCGAAGCGCACGCGACTGACGGCAACCCTGGAGTGGAAACCGTTCACCGAATTGAGCGAAGAGGGGCTATAAGGGCTGAGCGAAATGTCCAATTTCAGATTCCTTCGGGGAATGGTACTCGGACAAGTATCATGATTCGGCGATGGTTCCTCATGCAGCATCCGACAGAATAGAGATGCCTTCAGACTATGCCAGCAAATCACATCGGGATACTATCAGAACTGCGGAACTCAAGATTTCAATCCCTTGCCGCAATTTGTGGAAGCATACGTACCGAGGGAAGGATAGATCACTCGGCTACACAACAGCAGGAGTCTCGTCTATGCGAGCTGGGTTTGGAGCCATCGTGCAACGCGCTTCTCAAGAGCAAATACCTGTAACCTGCGTAACGGCGTGAGTTGCTGAGCGGGAAAACTCAGACAGGAAACAAAAAAAATCAGCTACGCAGCTCCCTGGCGGGGAGTCGAACCCCGCTTTCGCGCGTTCTCGCGTGTTTAACACCACTGACAGGCGCGTGTACTAACCGATATACTACCAGGGATGTACAGAAACGATTCGTGGATTGCTATGATCGGTTTCGACTAAAACTAAGTCATTCCCAGAAGCCTGAGGACGGAGCAAACGGGTACATCACTAGCGGTCATCATCGAGTACGCACAGTATTTACAATGCACGTACTATGGGCATGTATAACGGGGCAGAGCATGATGGAGAAAGCGAGCAAAGGAGAGGAGTGGCCCTGCGAGCGAGGGTAGGACTATTTGCGTGTCCGAAAGCACCCACGACGCACTCGACGCCGAGGTGACTGGCAATGCGTGCGGTGAGGATTATCAAACAACTACTAGCTCGGTTGACTTACTGGTCTTGTCCGAGTCTAACAAAACCGTTTAACGTTCGTGGATACATAGGTCATGTGATCGCGCATGAGCGTCAATTGAACTTCAAAAAAGGGAGGGAGGCGGACAATGTTATCGTGCCAAAAGACCAGACAAAGACGTCGGACATGGCGGTGAGGCCTAAGGCGCAATCAGAAGCTTCCAGGCAGCAGAGGATCAAATGTATATGAGATGGTTGAGCGAAGAATGTCAGTTCACATCCCCCCCGCTGAAGATGTTCCGATTCTTCCGAAGAGAAAAGCACTGGATAAGTGGAAGAGACCTTGAACCCAGCTTTATCCGCACACTAGTTGTGTTATGCTGAACCCAACGTCAACTGGATGAGGCCATGGCGTGATGGATGCATTCAATGTCATATACGCAATACACACATAAAAGAAACGAGATGAAGAGAAGATGCTCATACGACAGTGCCTGCATTTGATGCGATACGCGGCCACAAATCCGCCTGCAAGGTCAACGTGAGCACATGTCGTCGGGATCGCCAGATGATCAAGGTACGTACGCATTCCTTTGCGACCGGTCCAGTGATAGCAGAGCCCTTCATTTCACCCTTAGGGTTAACAATAACACCAGCATTGTCCTGAATCAAGTAAATTAGCATGCGTCTTTCACAAGAATGTATATTACGCCTTACCTCGAAGTAGAGGAAGACACCATCTTTCCGGCGCCAGGCCTTGCGCTGACGAACGACGACTGCGGGCATGGCTGGAGAAATAATCAGGTGAGTATAGGAGGTCAAATTTGCCCAGATACAACAAAGCATTGGATTGGGAAACGTACTCTTCTTCCTCAACTCAGGCTTTCCCTTCTTCACAGAGGCGACAAACATGTCACCAACACCAGCATCGGGAAGACGGTTCAGGTGGGAGCCTGTGCCGAAGGGCTCAATTACGAACAGGGATTTGGCACCGCTGTTATCAGCGCAGTTGAGGACGGCACCCGTGGGGAGACCGAGGGTCATACGGAACTTGTTGCCAGAGGAGCCCGCGCCTGGAGAACATTAACTCGCATTAAGGACAAAATTTGACATATTAACGGGCCCGAGAGATACTGACCTATAGAACATGACGGGTCGTCAGAAACAGAATTTCAATCGTACAACGTAGGATCAGCATAACGTACCGCGTTTCGACATTTTTGCTGGAGGTCTTGAGGAAGTGCTACTGCTTGCTGTGTACCGAAACGGTAATATCCAAGGTTTCGTGCCGCGCTTCGCCGGTGTGTACTGTACAGTTGTCGGATAATGCCGAGCTACCCTAATTCGGAAACCCTATACGTTGGTCCCTGTTGGCCTCGATTGACAGTAAGTACTACGTATACAATGTACATAGCTGCCTCTGCAGTGTAGAAGAGGGAGAAGCTGGACCAACCAAGTTTTTACCCATTTCTTTGAAGCGCATAGGCTGCATTTATACCTTTCTTCTTCGTCACTTGCGACCATCGCAAAACGCGGCGCCTGTGGGCTCTTACAGGTCGCTTGCCCGACTCATCGAACGACTGCCTCAGGTCTTTGTGACATTCCAGATGACCGCAATGCAGCACGTATATTACCCAGCATCAGCATTTCGATCAAGGAAAAGATCCAGCATATGCTTGTCAATAGCCAATGTATTGGTGCAAAGCGAAACTCAGAATACAGCATTCAAAATACAACAAATTGATGGATCTTCATTCATAGTACACAAAACATACCGCCCCCTCCGGTCTGCAAACGACAGTAGGGTTTTACTGCTTGGTGAGCTTGAAGCGGAGAGCCTCAGACGCGGGCTTGACAACCAATGGCTGGACGGGTGGGTGGCCGATCGCCTTAGCGATACGGTCAGCGAGATCCTGGCTAACGGCAGCGAAGACGGAGACTAGGTGCAAACGTTAGTACATTGAACCTCAAGGCAATAATGTAAGGAGGCATACGTTGGCGTTGCTTGACGATGGGGCTCTTGACGTTACCGAAGTGGCCGGCGACGTTGCTGACGTAGTGCTCCTTGGCGGTGTCGTCAAAAACCTTCTCCCAGAGGGCCCGAGGTTGCTCAAAGTCGACTATAAACAAGGGTGAATACTTCGGTAGTGTATAACGCAGAAAGGCACGCACGCTCGGTAATGTAGCTCAAGTCGGCATTGGCGTGGCCGAGCCACAACTCGTGCTGAACCTGTTCGTAAGGCTTGGGCTTGTACCTGCAGCAATACAATTGATCAACATCGAATGTTACAATGCCCACATATTGGAAACACGACGTACGTAAGAGGGATCAAGCTGCTCTGGTAGTTAGGCCTCGGGCCTTGGTTGTTAATAGCCATGAAGCCATCTCGCTGGAAGTTAGCGACGGGCACAACCGGGGCGTTGACGGGCAACTGGTTGTAGTTCACACCCAGACGATGACGGTGGGTATCGGGATAAGAGAACAGACGGGACTGCAAAACGGGATCCGTCGATGGCTCGATGCCGGGTACAAGATGTGACGGTGAGAACGCAGCCTAGAATAACAAGGCGGTGTGAATGTTTCGATAAGAATTGAATTGCAAGGAACGCGAAAAGTGTTCATGCTGACCTGTTCAATCTCGGCGAAGTAGTTCTGGGGGTTCTCGTTAAGGACGAGCTTCCCGAATTTTCTAAGGGGGAACTCGGAGTGGGGCCAGACTTTCGTCAAATCGAGGATGTTGTAACGGAATTTTTCAGCTTGTTCGGGAGTCATGGTTTGCTATTGAAGCATCTCCTGTGAACAACAGTAAACAGCACCAAGGGAAGACTCAGAACTTACGACGTAGGCCGTCCAGCTGGGGAATTTACCAGCCTCGATATCCTCGAACAAAGTCTGCAGACCGTAGTCGGGGTTCTCGCCAGCAAGCTTGGTAGCTGTAGCATCGTCAAGGGTCTTGAACCCGCCGTCCTTCCTGAGGTGGATCTGGACGTAGTGGTACTTGCCCTCCTTGTTGACAAACTTGAAAGTGTGGCCGGAATAGCCGTGCATGTGGTGGTAACCGTCGGGGGTTCCACGGTCGGAGAAGAGGATCATAACTTGGTGAATCGACTCAGGGTTAAGGGAGAAGTAATCCCAGAATGCGTCAGCATCCTATGAGATTATTGTACGTGAGCACAGATAATCATCGTCGCAATGACCGAAGACGATGTTCACCTTAAGATGAGTCTGAGGGTCACGTTTCTGCGTGTGGATGAAGTGAGGGAACTTGGAGGGGTCACGAAGGAAGAAAATGGGGGTGTTGTTGAAGACCCAGTCAAGGTTACCCTCGTCCGTCCTGATCTTGATAGCGAAACCTAGTTGATATTGGTGTAAGTTGGCTAAACGATGGCTCAGAACGAACGGGTACAGTACCTCTGGGGTCTCGAGCAGAATCTGCAGAACCCGACTCGCCACCGACCGTAGAGAATCGGACAGTAGTGCGAGCCTTATTGCCAACTTTGCTGAACAATGAGGCGCAAGTCAGGTCGGTGATGTCGTCGGTCACTTCGAAGTAACCATGAGCACCGGCACCCTTAGCGTGCACCTAGTGTAGACGATGGATGTTATGCGGCAGAGCCAGAGCTTCGAGACGCTTGCAACGTACCACACGCTCAGGAATACGCTCGCGGTCAAAGTGAGCCAACAAGTCAATGTGGTGGAAGTCTATCCGATAATGTCAGCACGACATATAGTAAATACATCGCCGACTACTACGAACCCTGCAACAGCAGCGGGCCAGTCAAGCCAATCTTCTGTACGGCGTAGGGCTCGGCGACTGGTGCCCCCGTTGAGGTGGTGTACAAGGCGCCGTCAGGGTTCTTCAAGGCAGATTGAGACGGCATCTTGTTAGCGAGTTTGTTGGGTTACTGCGATAAGGACGAGGACAAGAGGGTCGAGTAGCTGGGAGTTTCAAAGGAGGCTATATATACATTTAGCCTGACCTCTGACCGCATTATGACAGACCTTGAGTATGAGACTCACGTGCACCATGATTCAGCAACCAGTCATTGTTCAGCCATTAGTCGTGACTTCGAGGGTAGGTCAGGCGGTGATGAGGAGTGATTACGCAACGGTAGACTCGAACGAATGTTTCTTCCTGTATGGTCAACCCGAGGTGGGCCGGGCATCGCAGAGCTGGGAAGAGCAGATGGAATTCCCACAAGGAGGCAAAACAGAGTGAAGCTTGGGCAGGAATCATCCGGTCCTTCGCAAGAGTATTCAATACAGGAGTGACGGAGCTTACCATAAGGAAGGCTGTTGCCCGACTGACGGCTCGCCGAGACCCACATCGTCCCTTCCCATGCTCCTCCTGGGGGCTAAGACCAATTGAAAATGCCCTGTTATCGTATAGACTGAATATGAAGACGGGTATGTGACTGATAGAAGGAGGAGGGGCACTACGATGGCAGATCATGAGGGCCCTCATCTGTTCATGCTAGCACAGCACAGAGTGAAGCATACTACCACATGACGGAGGCGACTTCTTTGCAAACTCTATTACCCGTCAGGATCCCAACGAGTGGACAGCTTGCTGTCTCTGGATACCTGAAGCAGGGGTTGTCCGGGAAGTGATACAAGTAATGCACGGACAGGGGCGGGTTGTTTCACAAGCATGAAAGACGAATCGCTGGCTTGCTGAGTGGCTGAAGGTGAGTTTCTACCCTTTCTCTCACGAGTTATGACGG